TGGAGGCTGAGACAGAGAGACGGGAGAGCAGACCCGGCCTGGTTCAAAGAACTTCTGCAGACAGACTGGAGACGATTTGACAAATAGTTACATGGATAAAGGAAAAGAGCGAGGAACACTCGACACAGAGAAGCTGACCCTAAACAACCCTTAATTTAGCCCTTTTTAACTCCCTTAATCCTGAAAACATTGCATAAACCATTAGAGCCTTTCTAGCAGCCACATACTCCTCCTCATTTGGTCATTATGTGCATTTCATGCAGTGATAATCACAAAATCTTGTGACTGCTCACCATTTTTTCACTTTCCATTCCTCCCTTTTTTCTCTTTCCATCATTTTTAGCGCTCCCTTGACTGTATGACGGTACTGTTTCCATTGTCATGCTTTTCAAATCAACTTCTCAAACACACATACACACACACACATCTTTTTTTGACAGTTTGATATCTTTCAGCAAGATGCGTTTATGGAGCTAAAATTTTGATGAATGAATAAATGGCTGGTGGCTTGGTTTCTAAATAAAAAAAAAAGCTAGTTAGAGCTGATCACTGTCAAAGTAAATATCACAACCAAGTGGCTAAAATGCAGAAATCCTTTAGAAATGCTTCTAAAGTTGGTGACTGAATCATGAGAGCTCAAATCACTCTCATTCAACAGGTTCTGAATTAAACCTGCACTCAAACAATGACCCAGGATCCATTTCAAACCTGTACTGCTTCATGACTCCACACAAGAGTGACACGTTCAGCCCAATGTCTTTCTGGAACACATACTGTAATTAAATCAGGTCATAAAAGCCAGTGAATTCTCAGAATCTCTCTTCACAATTAGAAACAGACACAGAATCTGACCAAGCACAGACTTACTGACCCCAGTCTAGACATAGAAAAATACCCAAACAATAAAAACACACATAGCTTAACGCATGAATGATAGCGATGTCAAAAGGACTGCGTATTTATTTTTGTATTTATGTCTAAATTAATTTGATTACAAAAGAACCTATAAAATAATAACTTTTTTTTAAATCAGTATTTTTATCTTGTTTTCCAAAAGAAATCTAAACATCCTGGAAACAAAAATACTTAAAACTGGTTTGGTTTATTGCAAAAAGGAAATTGTGAATCTAATTTTTTCCACATCAACTCTAAGAATCCTAAAATACTATTTAAAAAAAAAAAACAGTAAAGAACAATGCTAATAAACAATTTTTACAATGGTACATTAACATTTAACATTAGTGTAACATACATTACATGACAGAATCTGAAAACAAAAATTATTGAGAATACTAGAGATTTGAGAAGCATTTCTGTAAGTTTTAAAGAGATTAATTTTAAAGTTTTTTTTTTTTTTTTATGGCTACTTGTTTTTTAAGTTTAAACTAATTTTGTTAGATTTATGCCTATGTGAGATTTATTTTAAAAATGCCAGTGGGTTAAGGGAAATAAAATCAATGCAAAATATATCGTCTGAAAACAAGTATTATAACTACACATACTTTTGTTCATTTATGTTGTTTAAAGGATGTTTAAATATTTTTTTACTGGAAAACAAAACAAGAATACCGATTAAAAATAATTATTTCAGTGCACAGCACAACATGTCTGGAGCACTTGAGCTAACTGTTGCGGCACAGCTCGACGGGAGAAGTTAACATGTATGGCTGGGAGGGAGGCTGAGACAGAGAGACGGGACAGCAGACCCGGCCTGGTTCAAAGAACCTCTGCAGACAGACTGGAGACTATTTGACAAATAGTTACACGGATAAAGGAATAGAGCGAGGAGATTTGAGTCACTGGATTGGCCTCTGGAGCCAATGTGCTGAACCTCTGTAGGGACTACATGGTCTACATATTGATTTGAGTATCCTGGGACATGTGCAGCCTTCTAGATGAACCAATCATTCAAAAGAATTCAATCTCTGAGTTTAGATTTAAACTATAACATGTCCTGAAAGATAGTGTGAATTAATATTATGTAAATTGAAATTACAGATGAAATGGAGGGTACTGAAGACAGAAACAAAGAGCTTGACAGTTCTTTCCAAAAAATGGATTTAAGGGGCCTTTTTAGGGTACGACATGGGTGGCACGACGACATGGTGAGTGTTAAGCTCAGCAGGAATAGGAAACATAGTCAGCATCACAGAAATCAACATACTGAGGGTACAGGAAAGGCACAGAGGTTGAGAGAAAGAAACTCGACACCAAGCTGAAAGAGGCAAATATAGTGACAGGAGAAACAGCAGATTCTCGTGGATGGATAAAAAGCACCTGGAGTGACACTGTAGCAACTGAAAAAGCCTGACAGACATGCTCAAGGCGGGTGGGCAGAGTGTCAGTATAAGTGAGGTCTGCAGCAGCATGTATCTGCTCAGACACAATCAGAACAAGCTAAATGGTAGCTATTCATTATCAAACCACACAACATTTCATTAGCATAGAGTGCTAACAAAACTATCATAAATGTAATAATTAAAACACGCCATAAACTTTAACCACAAGTAATGGCAAGACAGACGAATTGGGTTGAAAGATCTTGCTTACATTTAACACACACAAGGGGAGTTTTATATTAAAAAGCATCTATACTGATGCCAAACTACAATCAGTTCAGGGACTCACTGCTACATTTACATGCAACCAAATAATCCGTTTGTAATGGGGTTGACGGCTCAGTCGGACTAAAAAGCCTTCATGTAAACACCTTAATCGATCCGATTGAGCTCGATCGGAATGAAATTTCGATCAGATTGAAGGGGGTGGTTTATTCCTTTTCTAATACGATTGAGAGTGCATGTAAACACTCGATCTGATTGAACCCCGAAACTGAAAGGACTGCGCATGTGCAATGACGCAGAAATAGCGTAATGACGTATGACGCGCGGAACGTGCTGAATTTCTGACCATTACCGCACGCTCCCATCCGCTCCCGCAAACATTGTAATATTGTATATAATTTTCACGCATCAGGGCACCGCTATCAATATGTGGGGATTTAAATCCCCTTTGAATGAGCGCTCGCAGTCGTAGTTCACTTTCACTTTCAATTTCGCGATCGCGCGCGCACTGTGTAAAGGGAGCACATCCTACGATAAAAGATATTTGTCAATGAGCTCAGGATCTGTTGAGGAGCAAATCCTCCAACATCTTGTCAGTTATCTCTCCTTACTTTTGACCCGTGATTAGTCAAATCTGACTTCTGCAGCTCGTGTTGGATGCAGGGTTGTTGTTGTTTTTTTCCACGAAATTGGGCTGCTTTTAAAAAAAAAAAATCTATTCCGATTTGAAGCTTGTGACATATAAACGCGCACATCAACCCGATCACTTTATTTAGCGTTCATGTAAAGACTACATTCAGATTTATCAATCGGAATGAATTCAGTCCGATTGAACCAAAAATCGTGCATGTAAACGTAGCAATATGTATGTAAACAAGGTAAATGTGACATACCAATAGCGCACATTGTCGAAACGCTACTCGAGAGGCTTTTCTGAGGAGCGAACGGATGCGTGTGAAACTGTCACGCTCTAAAGTCTCTCGCTGAGTTATTAACTCAGAATGACCAGACAGCAAAAACCACTGAACCCAGAACACAAACACATTTCAGCAAAATTATTTTAACCAGACTCATCCTGTTTACCAGAGCAAGATAAAGGAACTGGTTGCTAGGGAGTCTGTGTGCATGTGTGTGCGTGTGTGTGTGAGTGTTTTACTGGATCTAATATCAGCCCTGCTGCTTGCTGGGGGTAGTTGTGGTGATGGGTCAGTAGAGGTGAAGTGGATTATGGGACATGTCTGGGCATCATGGCCAAGAGACCAAAAACTCAGTGAGGCACGACAACCAATGAGACATGCCTGACTGAAAGTGTCTCTCCCTCCCACCATCCTTGGGGAAAGAGTTAAAAAAAGACAGCGGGGTAAAGGGGGTGGATACACTGAGCCATAGAGAAAAGGAGACAGAAAGAACGTGTTACATTTACCATGCTGTTCCCTGCTGTTTTTATCTCATATGCTAAGGATTTAGCATGCATTTATGCTGAACGTGTTATAAATCTTTAATTCTGAATGAATGATTAATCAGCTCTTCAGTACAACTGTTGCATGCTGTTTGTGGCTGGAAAATCATCCCTCACTGAAAACCTCTTTCACAAAAGCTTGACTGTGCCATTTACAGATTTACACAAACATATTACCATTACTATGGAAGCCTCTTCCTGCCTTTCTGACTTTATTTGTCATAACCGTGGCTTTATTTCTCGTAAATGCGACTTCATTTCCCACAAATTGCAACTTTGTGTTACAATGTGACTTTATTTCTTATTTTAAACGGTATCTCTCATTTTAAGCATTAGTTCAATTACCCGTTTTATTTTTTACTCAAAGGCAGAAACTGGCTTCCATATCTCTCTCTCTCTCACACACACACACATTTTCTATTGATAATGATATTTTCTATTCCTTAACCATACCCCAAATCATCACATAGTCTGTGGTTTAAATTAAAAAACAATGTGGAACTTTGGCTGGTCCCCATAATGTCATTTCTGGCTTTACTATTCTTTTGGGGACATTTGGACCACATAATATAGGCAAAACCTGACCCAAACACACATTTAGCAAGCTATCTAAAATGGGACTTCTCATGAACTTCTATTGTATCTAAAATAATCTTTTTCCGACTACACTAGATTAACGCTAATTTGTATAGTACAACTTTAGGGATTTTTAGTAGTAAATCAAATGTGTAAAATTGTACGTTCGGGAGTACAACAGGTTGTCACTGGGGCAGTACCCTCAAAAGGACCTCTTTGTACCTTATTTAACCCTAAAACCTTAAGGGTATATACTGCTTTAGGGGGTAAGGGTACCTTTTAAGGGTACTGCAATATTACAATTAAACAGTACTACAATTTTTGCAAATATGTTATGATAGTGAAAAATGTGTCCCCAAAAGAAGTTGTTAGATAGCTACAGAAAAGCTGGAGTTACTTACAGGTGATGTAATAGTTTGCCATGCGTCTGAATTCAAGTCCCATGTAGTTTGGACTGAACTCCTGGAACTTGATGGTGAATTTGATGTCTTTCTCTGGTTTGTTGCAGGTCACCAGCACATTGGGGTCCAGTATGGTGCTGCAGGACTCGGCCTGCTCTTTCTTCACCAGGTAGAGTTTATAAAACTCATACGGTCTTCCCATGTCCCCTTTGGGGCAGATAATGTCCAGTTTGTCACCGATTTCCGGGTAGATCACCAAGCCCTTCCCAGACACAAACCTGCAACACAAAGCATACAAGGTTACAATAAATCACAAACACATTTATACAATCCTCTCCAATACTGATTCTCGGTAGAATCTGCATCTCTGTGGACCCCACGATCGTGAGAGGAAAAACATAGGGTTCAAATAGCCCTCCAGACTGCCAAGATCCTCCACAAAATGCTCCAGAGGGACTATCGCAGGTTCCTTTTTTCTTTTAATAACACATTTCAAAATATGAAACAATTTCAAATATTAAAGAAAGAGAGCAACAAGAGAGCAGAGTCAGAAATGAGCTGGACAGAGATGGAGCTGTATCTGCTGACTATGATTTATTGGACAGGGAAAGTGAAGCATCTCATTTAATTTATTAGAGTTAATAATTTATTGTTCATCATGTGTTGATCCACACTCAGGGAGTATATGATTCATTCTCAGACTTTAGAATGTGTGTGCGCACACATCAATATGTGTCTATATGGGGAGATGATTGCCACACAGTCTTTACACATTTTACTGCTAACCGCACATGAACACACAAAAGAACAAATACAAACACGCAGACACAGACATGCCCTAAAACTACAGAGACATACACACAGACATAACCACACATACACATGAAAATCCCCTAGAACTACAAACAACATATGAACAGACAAAAAGACACACACACACCCTTTAATCAAAAAGACATGAACACGTACTAAATAATGGCGAGTAAATATACAAAGCCTTTAAATAAAAAACACATCAGTGGAGTGCAGGAGAACTTGCATTTCCCTGATATATGGTCCTGATCAAACTCAAATATTGTCTCTGTATAATGTAATTCTGCTGGTTATTTCTGCTCTCATGCACACGCTCCTCGCTGCAGGCTGTTCGCTGGTTTAACACACATAAGAGCTTACAAAACATCTTCACAGATGGGTTAACAACAAAAACCTTTTAGTGGGGCACAGACTTGCGTCTATTATACAAAACATGCTGTAAGTGCATTCACGTGCATATGTCTGTGTCTGGGGTGTGTACAGGATTGTGAAATCTAATTATGACTGAGTGATTACAGCCAACGAGAAGCACAATTATGTTCTCAATGAGAAGAAGGGAAACAATGCGAACAGACAGACTCAAATAAACAAGAACACAAACACACACACTGCAGTTATGATAGCTTACAGTTCTCTCATTGAAAAGAGTAGAGACGAAACGCATCAATAACTAAAAAAAAAAAGTCAATTAAAAACAAACCAAAGCAAACAGTAAGTGGCATGTAAATTCAGGAATTTCAGAAAAAGCAATTAACATGTCAGTGGAGATGCACAATATATCTGTACCTTATCAGCTATCGACCAACATTAGAGATATTTTCATTTATAGGTAAAGTTTATATACATATACACACACACAACCACCATTCAAAAGTTTTAGGTCAGCAAATTTCAAATAAATGATTTTTTAATTTTCTATTCATCAAAGAATGTTAATTTTACATTTTAAATTATATTATTACTGTTTTTACTGTATTTCTGTCAAATACATGCACCTGTGGTGAGCATAAGAGACTTAATTCAAAAACATTAAAAAAAATCTTACCCCAAACTTTTGATCTGTCATGTATATTGAAAATAAAACACTAAAAACCAATGAAAAAAGATTTTATTTTTATATTCTTTTTATTATTATAGATGCAGTGGACCATGCCAGTAAGACTGGACTTGACACCAAACTGAGTTTAGCAAGACCCAATAATGATCATCTGGACTGGCATATTAAATCGTGACATAGATACACAATGTTTATCATATTGTGAGGTAGCAGGTAGGGCTGAACGATTAATTGCATTTGCGATAATATCGCGATATGAAATAACGCGATTTTTCAATCGCAGAGGCTGCGATTACAAGGTCACGTGACACGCGAGAGTAAAGAGGGGTTTGTGCAACACTGTAAATATATTTACCTTTTTTTTTTTTTTTCATTAAACCTGCTGAGATACAAGGAGCGTGTGCTGAAATTCTCACTCAGTTCCACGCGCATGTCCGGGAAACTCATGAATATTCATGTGTGCTCCGCCCACTGAACCAGAAAATCTCGGAGCAGGTGATACCCAGCTCAGAGATGAATGAATTTTAATGTTGTAGCACTTCATAAAAGCAGATATCTGAGGAGTTGATGTGCAGAACTAGAGAATATCTGTGTGTGCGTGAGAGAATAAGAGATTTGCATGACTTAAGGAGTTTTTGCAGGGTTAAACTCTTTGTGTGACATTTGCCTCCTCTGTCTGCGGCCTCTTCTCTGTTCTTGTCTATCCCTTTCTTTTATACGTCTGTTTCTAGATCTCTTTTTATCCCTCTCTTTTTTCCCCATCAATGAAGATGTCAAACTCGTGCCCTTCCTCTGACGGCCGGCTATGACTGAACAAATCAGAAACAGAAAGAGAAAGCGAGCGAGGAGGAGGAGGAATCTGACCTCCTCAACTCTGAAGAAAAGACTTCATCACTTCCTGTCAAATCAGCAGCTGCTTCAGACGAAGAATTTCAGAAGCTGGACCTGAGAGGGATTGTTTGCGAATGTGTGTGTGTTGGAAGCTCAAAGCGGTTCAATAACAGGCAGTGCACTCCCTAAAACACACAGGGCTGATTCTGAGAAGATCTCACCAGCAAATTTAGAATCATTTAGGCAACCCTTCCTTTACAGGAAGTAAAGGAGTTTGTGTGCGCTTGTGTGTGTGAATGCGCCATGTTTTTGTGTTGTGTGTCTTGGATAGGTCAAACAATAAGTGTTACATTTTTGTCTTCAATTAACGCGTGTTTACTTAGGTAACACTATGAAACTTTTAAATATAAACATACATAACTAATTATCATTATTAAAAATTATGGAACTTTAACTTTACGACTAAGTAACTGCAGTAACAACCATTATATAATCCATAACAGGATTATATGACATAATTATGTAGTAATACTAAATTATTAAAATATAATAAAATGTAATCATTCTAAATAATATTATTAATTAAATTTACTCTTAAGTGTTTTACTCTGTTTAATTAATGTAAATATAAAAAATAAAATATATTAAAATTAATATTTAAGGAACTAAGTCAGAAGAATAACAAAGTTCTAGAGAGACAGAAATAATAAACAAACACCATTTCCTGCTAAAAATTGAATTAAATCAGTAGCACATTAGAGAGTGGGGGAGATGTCTTAATTCAAATTGTAAATGTAATTATCCACACATACACTTCAGTTTCTGTTCACTGTGTGAAACAGAGTTAGACCCACAAGCTTGCACACACACACACACACACACTCAATAAGAGGCCTCCTCGCTTTTTAAACAAGTGAACACGGGATTAAACCAAGACTGAATGGCACCAATTAAATACTGAATACAGCAGCCATGCAAATCAGCACACACACACACACACACACACACACACTTCAGTTTCTGTGCACTGTGTGAAACAGAGTTAGACCCACAAGCTTGCACACACACACACACACACACTCAATAAGAGGCCTCCTCGCTTTTTAAACAAGTGAACACGGGATTAGACCAGGACTGAATGGCACCAATTAAATACTGAATACAGCAGCCATGCAAATCAGTCTCATTCAAGAGGGGGAGAGAGAGAGAGAGACATAGACACAGACACCTCTTAACACACAAGCGACTACATTCTGAGAAGGGGCCGTAATCACATGTCTTGGCATTAAGTCTAACCTCCACAATGGACCAACAACGGCAACTCGTATATACACAATACGCATACCTTATTTTAAAGTTTAAAGACTGGAATGTTCAGTTTTATTTTTGGTGTGTAACATAGAGTGGAAAATGTAGTCACCTATCTCTCATTAAACAGACACACACACACACTCAGCGTGGAGATGCTGGGTGTATGTATAGAGTGTGGTAGTCATGTGATTGTCCACTCTCAAGGCAGAGCTCCTACAAGTGGCTCTTTGTCTGCGAGAGAGAGAAAGAGAGAGAGAGAGCACGACAGCTTACACATATCCCACTCACAATAACAACTGCACACAAACTCACACACTCAAAAAACACACAGAGCCTTGGGCATCTTGTTGAGAATGAGAGAAATGAGTGAATGGAGTCTAAGAGAGATGAGGAATCTCCATAGCAGAGCCCCCCATCCTCATTAATTCTCTCTCTCTCACACTCACACACACACTTTGGATAAACTTTTTGCATTTTTAGAATTAAGAAAAAACACATTTACTTAATCTATATAGCCTACTGTTCTTTTTTAACAATTTGAGGTTAACCTACCACAAAAAAAAAAAAAAAAAGATTAATTTTACTTTCTGATTTATTTAAAGGGGTCATATGATGCTGCTAAAAAGAACATTATTTTGTGTATTTGGTGTAATGAAATGTGTTTATGCGGTCTTTACTTATTTTATGAATGTTTTTTACTTTAACACAGCTAAAAGTTTAATTGAAGGTTCATATCCTGCATGAAATCCTAATCTAAATATATATGCTAATCCTTTTATATCCTATCTGATAGAGAAACAATGCAAGCAAAGGGGATTTTTGGGATTTTTAGTCAACAGGCAATCGTGCACCAGGTTTGTATAAGTCTGCCTTGGAGGAATATGATAACTCTCCATCACACAATCAGACAAAAGTACATTCTTTCACTGGATTCATTTCCTGCTCTCCTCCTCAATGTCTTTAGCTGCTGTTTTTCACTCATATTACTTTCACCAGTTCAAAGAGGCTAGAGGTTAGAGGTCAAGCTAAACTTCCCTACTGAACTATCAAGATCTGCAAATACATCATGTGAACAGACAGAATTCACAAGAACTCTTCCACTTCATTGTTTATGGGTGTCATAACATTTCCATTCGCCCATTGCCTTGATGGTATGGGTGGAAATCACCAGGGATCCCACGAAAGAATAACAAAACTATTTTTAGTTTGCAATGTAATGCATACTGCATTTGTTTAGTTGTGATGACGATACACTTGAAATATTGT